CCCTCCCCCCCCCCCCACCCAGGTCCCCATCGTCATCCCGGTCATCGTCCTCGTCATCTCCATTTACCTCGTCGTCGGCCCCATCATCGACTCCCCACAGATCGAGTACCTGTACGCCAGCCTCTTCATTCTCGCTGGCCTCATCTTCTACTTCCCCTTCGTCTTCTTCAAGAAGAGCGTCCCAGGCATGGGTGGGTAGACGGGCTTAATTTATTTATATATGTATTTTTTTATTTATTTTTATTATTTATTAATTATTTCATTATTTTTATTTATTATTATTTTTATTTATTTTTTTTTGGGGGGGGTGGGGTGGAAACTGTAGGTGGGAAACGGTTACAGCATTTTTAGGGGGTGGGAGATAAGTGGAAACTTTTTTTTTCGTCTTCGTTGTGTTAGGGTCGAAGTTATTTGATGTTTTTGTTTATATTTTTTCTTGTTATTTTGAATATACAAAGACCTGCTATTTGTGTCATCATACATGCGGGCATAACTCCAACGTTAAGAGAAAAAACTTAAACCATTTTTTTTCTATTCGAATAAAAAAAAAAACAACATTACAAGTTCAACACACAAAAAAAATCTAAAAAACACGTGTTAAAAATCGAGATATATAGGGTATTTATAATAAAAAGCATGAGTGAATAACATTGCAATTGCAGGCATGTAAATTCAAATAGGAATTGAGTAGTAGTAATCTGCTCTATAGTATCAGAAGCAGCCCAGTACTAGTAGCAGAGTAGTAAATAACATAATGATATTGACTGAGCAGTATATTGATGCTGTTGTTAACAGGAATTTTCTCAAAAGAAGGTGGTGGTGGTCAGTTAGATACTAAAACATGGTGATGACTTTGACACTTATAATACCACACCGCTGACCAACCATCACAATTTCTGCTACTACTACTACTATTCCTGAGAAAAACTGAAAACTGATCAGTTATACAGTATATACTACTATACATACTACCACTGCTTTGCTTTTACTCAATCACTAAAAGCACCAATTTCAATAACCTTCCCTTTCCACACAGGTCACCTGACGACCTTCTTCCAGCTGATTCTCCAGGTCGTTCCCACCGACACGATGCCCGACGCCTGATTGCCTGAATGCCATGAACGAGACGCCTTATCAAAAGACCCCGATTGCCAGGGAAACGAAGGCTGCAGCTGTTCGTCGGATACAATCTGACTGAACTGAAATTGTTTTAACACTTTTCTGTGATTATTTTTTTCTTCTTTTTTATGAGGTACATTTTGTTAGCCTTTTTTCTTTGAACTTGGTGTCCAGTGTGTGTTTTTGACTCTGCCTAAGTAGAAGATGAAAGCACAATAAGAGCCATAGCACACTGGGAAGCACATAGATACAGTAGATACATTCATATATACATAAATACATATGTACATGCATATGTATGTAAACACATTCTTATGGGAACCTCCCCATACTTCCCACAACCAAAAAAGAAGAAAAAATATCAAATGTTGCCCAAATGTATATTAGATACATTTTATTCCTAACTTTGCCATTGATAATTTATGTTATTCCCTGAATGCAACCTGAGTTTTATCCACTGGAGAAACGTTAAAAGCACCAAATGATAATTATGTTGAGATCCCTGGAATGCATGAGAGTTAGTTATAGGTTCTGTGTTGGTACCACTGTTCAGCACAAGTGGAGGACATGTTGGCAATCCTGTTCAACACCAAGATTATTAATTAAAGAAAAATGAGCTAAGTAATGACTCATCTTCAACACCAATGAGACACGTGTTCATGATACACCAAAAACTACAAGGATGAAGGCTGACATTTCTGTAGTTAACTTCTAGCTGCACAAGTATTTAGGTGTTAGTTATACGGTTAAACATTATCTGGAGATGCTCGTGTAACCTTCCAACCTGTGATATAGTCATCCTTTCGCTTCGGTAGTTAGAGGTGGGAGAAATACGTGAATATATAGCTACGCATGTGTGTTCGGTTCAGAACCACGAGTCAAAAGTAGTTCAGTAGTTGGGATCTCATCACTCTGGGCGGATTTGTGTGTTTGTCTGTTGGCTTTTTTTCTCCTCGACGTAAGGTTGGGCGGTCTCTTTGGACACTCGAGGGGAGAATACATCTATAAGGTGATTATATTTTCCGTGTCCTTTTTTCCTCACTTCTCAATATCCCTTGATTTTTTTTCTTCTTTGTTTCCAATGTTGGGTCTTGTTTTGAAATTTGGGACGTGATGCGAATGTTTTTTTTTTTTTTCGTGATTTTTTTTTTTTTTTTTTTTTTTTTTCTCGGGAGAAATTTACGTTTCCCTCACAGTCCCTCACGTCTCGTCCCCCTCGAACAGTCTCTCATCCTACGGCTTCCCTTATCCTCCTCCTCATATCGTCCCATGGCCCTCCACCTCCCGCCCCTCCTTATCCCTCCACCTCCCCTCCCCCCCCCTTTCACATATCCCCACAACCAATTTCTAACTCTCCTCTCGACCTCCCCACCCCATACATAATCTCACACCCCACCTCATAATTCCCACACCCCTACCCCACCTCATACCCCCCTACACCCTACCCCACCTCATACCCCCCACACCCCTACCCCACCTCTTACCCCCACACACCCCTACCCCACCTCATACCCCCTACACCCCTACCCCACCTCATACCCCCATACCCCACCCCACCTCATACCCCACACCCCTACCCCACCTCATACCCCCCACCCCACCACCCTCCAACCTCCCCTTCCTCCAGCAGCGAGTTGAAAATGTATTCAATACCACATGAATTTAATACCATATACTTTTTGGCATTCCACAAGGTCTCGACTTGGCTCGGGACGCGGTCGGCGGAAGGAACACACAAGTTTTATCATTGTTATCGTATTTCACTATCAGCGTTGTCATTATCATTGTTATTATTGTTATTCTTATTCTTTATCATGATTTGGTGTTATTATCATTATTATTATTTTTGTTGTTATTGTTTTTATATCATGATCATTGTTATTGTTTTATTATTACTATTTATATGGTAATTATTATTACTATTATTGGAATTAGGATAATAATGATAATGATAGTAATAATGACGGTGATAATAATAATGACGGTAATAATAATGATGATAATAATGATAATGATATTGTTTATTGTGTTATTGCTATTGTTATGTTCACTATTATTATTATTATCATTTTTATTATATCTCCTACTTTTATTACTGTTATTATCATTATATTTTTTAAAAATATCATTGCTGATGTTACTTTTAACCTTTTATTTTTTTTTCAATATATCTTTTTTCTTTTTTTTTTCGTTTCTTGTGTTTGTTGTTAATGTCGGGAACTCTGTCTGATTAGCTCTTTCGAAATTGTTATGATTATTTTCATTATCCGTCTAATTTCAATTGTTGATTCTAAAAAAAATAACAAAAAGATTTAAAAAAACACGTTTTACTGTTCACAAATTGCGGCGTTGAGTTCTTCACGTGTTTTATACTTAATATTAGGATATAGTGAGATAAAAAATGCCTATTAGTATGATTTTATCAATTATTTTTGTAATGTATGTGATATAGATTTGAGGAAGAAGTCAGCCTGTGAATCTATTATCAGTATAAAAAAAGAGAAATGTATAGGATATTGTATTCTAGAGATGTTTTTTAGGTATTTATGTTAACAAAGGCTACATTAGAAGTATTTATTTTAATGACTTATTAGAATATATATCTATATGTAAAATATTAACTGTTCATCACTAAGCCAAGGCAGTTGGATGCTATTGAGCTTGAAATGCCAGTATTACACACACACACACACACACACACACACACACACACACACACACACACACACACACACACACACACACACACACACACACATACACACACACACACACACACACACACACACACACACACACACACACACACACACACACACACACACACACACACACACATACACACACTTTAAAGCCTCAATGAACAGCATGTACAACCCTTTTCCTGACCCCGACCTTACCTGAAACTCATTTATAAAGACTAAGGTGTCAGTACAAGGTCTTACTCCTTTAAAAAGTATAGTGTAAATATCTTTTGATTAGAATTATCATCTCTGTTCACTGATATCATAATAGCATACACATACACACCTACAATATATATATATATATATATATATATATATATATATATATATATATATATATATGTATATTATATATATATATATACACACATATATATACATATATATATATATATATATATATATATATATATATATATATATATATATATATATATATATATATATATATGGCAATTGTGCATAAGTCTGTCTATTCATTTAAAGAGATAGTGATATTAGATCTATTGGGACTAAGAAAAAGATAAAATATTGATTGTATTTTCAGATGGATCTAATTTAACTGAATAAACAAATTCATAAATAAGAATGGCAAATGAAAATACACATATTTTTATTAAATGCAATCACTTTTTCCTTGTTTATGATTCTCTCTGTTTTGTTTGCTCAGTATCTTTCTTTGCAACACTTATTTCCTTTTACTTATGGGTTTCTACTCATTTCTTTGTCTTTTTCCTCTTATCATACCATGTGGGTTGATTCTTCTTAATTCTATACCTACCACACATTTTATCTTTTCGGATATACACAAATATACATAACTACAACTAAATATACTTGGGTTCTTGTTCATGAGAAAAATGTGTAACCCTTTTCTTGTACATTCTTTCAAGACCACCAGAGATGAGGATGTTGTGTGTTCGTCTTACAACCCAGAATATTGTGTTTATTTACCTCTCGTTATGTGATATTTTATGCGTAGGCCTATGTATATCGATTCCAGTCAACGGATGATAATGAAGTTTGTGTATATTATTTTAATCTTTGTTTTCTTTATCCTTGGGAGAGAGTGGGAAGGAGAGGGTTGGGGGAAGAGAGAGGGAGAATGGAGAGAGAGAGAGAGAGAGAGAGAGAGAGAGAGAGAGAGAGAGAGAGAGAGAGAGAGAGAGAGAGAGAGAGAGAGAGAGAGAGAGAGAGAGAGATGGTGAAATTCATATTGAACAAGTATACAAAATAACAAAGAAAAAGACAAGAATGCAGCCGATTTAGCTTGCAATTAGAGTTTAGTTGTTTTCAAACTTATATTTTCTGGTTTTATTGTTGCCCAAAGATAAAAAGAGGGATTTTGAGTGTATATTTATGAATGTGTATGTGTGTGTGTGTGAGAGAGAGACATAGATAAAGATAAAGACTATAACAAACTGCCGAATTCTTCATTGAAGTAGCATCTCCTTTTGGAAACCCGCACACACTAATCACTCTTCCTGGCCCTCTTCTGCTGATCCTCCTTCGCTCTTCCTTCAGCGACACATGGCCGCAGAAAAGGTATGCATGAGAATGAATGCATTTGACCGGTCTCGAATACATCGTCAAGAGTATTTCTGACGAAGATATTCATTCATAGCTTTTCTACATTTGTCAGCATGAATACGGCCCAACAGAGAGCCGGTCAGACCACTTGCCACTGAGCACACAATCACAAATGTCGAAGGTTTTGCTGCTTGCATCAGACCGGCGGTTCGTAATCTCTGGGGCGACGCGAGCCCTGGGGGGGAAAAGCAGGGATTTATCTAATTATATTTGTTATTTTCTTAGCAAGTGCATGTTCAAATAATAAGTTTAATCGTGATGTGACTCATTCATACTGGATAAAGAGAATGAGAACATATTTTGTATTTCATTTAAAATCTGGAATTTAATTTTATTCATAGATGCAAGGGGGCGTGGTTGATAGGAGAAATTCCTAGGGGAGGCGTGGTAGTAAAAAGGTTTAAAACCACTGCATTAGACCGAGATATAACAAGAAAAAAATCTTAAACTCCTCTCCGGTAGGAAGACCCCAGCGTAAACAGTAACGCTAATAAAGAAGAAAAAGGGACTAGGATATATTAATATGAATATGAACTATGCCAGTTCTGATTGATACGTTTTTAGTTCATCCAGTTCCGATCAAATGAACTTTTGTCCAATCTAAGTGAATCAGCTGAAATGTATCATAACCAATTTTTATTAAATTAATCAATACTGATGACTTCAATTTTATCCCGAACCGT